TCTGTCCCCTAAAACTTGTCTGGTTCCTACAATACAGATGATTTCAGGTTTTATCTTCCTCTTGGGGACATTTGGTCTTCACAATGTACGCAAAACCTTCTACACACACACAGCAAAAGACAAAATCGATAAAGCTGAAGTGTGTAATATGTGTGCCACTTATGGGACCAAAGGGAAGGGCAAAAATAATGATTTTCAGGATTTTTTGCAGGTCTTCTAAACACTCCTACCACCCCATTTCCATTATTTGGTCCCACTTCAAACTCTAAACTCTAAATTATACGGAAAAGAGCTGTGTGACAACTCAAACAATCACAGACACAGTGTTTACAGTCTTCAAGAAGTCAACCTTAGGAATGGCTTACTTACAGTTCAGCACACTAAACTGCGACATAAAGTATTTTTAAAACTGAAAAAAACACACTTCCATATCAAAAGATCAAAGTATTACACTCACAGAAGAAGCTGATAAACAACTACTGCACACTTGTTCAATCTAGAACCACATTTACAATGAATTTCAGATTCTCTAATGTATCACTGTGTGTCTCCCTTTAAATCAAGCAGAGCTCCTCAGAATCCTGAGGCAGAGAAGAAATTGAAGGAGAGAGAAAAGGTGTTAAGAGATCAAGAGAGGGAGGCGTAGAGATGAGAGATCAGAGAATGAGCATGTCAAACACCGCGGTGAACAATGGGGACTGGAAGAATAGGACACAGGGCAAAAGGTTACAGCGGTGGAAGGTTGGACATACTTTTCGGAAAAACAAAAAACAAAAGCTGGCCTACAGATGACAATTATCAGTCAAGCATCTAAAGACGCACACACACACACACACACACACACAAAGCATTTTAGAATTCAGCAGCAGATGATAAAAGACCTAAGTCATGAATAATCAATAATGCTCACCAGAGGCCTTCTCCTGTATTCATACAATCACAGCTAATCCTGCCAGTCCACAGAACACTGTGCTGGGCCACTCTATAAAGGTTAAACTTGTTTTATTAATAATGAAATTCTGTCAGGAGCCTGATACTTTAATACAGGCATGTATGTACAATGCATACTGAAATACACACCGATTGTGACTAGGAATGCAAAGGTAGATCTCGTTCATTTCAGGCAGCTGAAAAATTCTAAAAAAGAAACACCAAGATGCAAATAAAATTCACAGAATGTGCATAAAACAAGGTGGTGTGACATTGCGAATTAAATAGCTGAATTTTAATTGAAGAAGCAAATACGATTCAGAATGGAAATTCATTCTGTAAGGAAGTGCAATTACAATTAATTTTAAAAACATAAAAAATCATTTAAACTTATTTTTTGAAAGAAAAGGGAAGATGGCATGAAAATATCGAGAGAAAATATTTTTTTATATATATTTTAACTCCTCCCCCCCATCCAAAAATTCAATCTGTAAGGAAGTGCAATTACAATTAATTTTAAAAACATAAAAAATGAAGTTATTATACAAACGACATATCCACATATTTTCAAATACAAAAGCACACCATGTATATACATATCGATCAGTAGAGTGAGAGGTATCTAACATTGCCTGCTCCAATATTTGCTTATTTTCCAGAAACGGTATAAACCGATTCCAATTTTTATGGTAGTCCTTCAGTTTGCCCTTTATACTGTAGCTTATTCTTTCCAATGCAATATACTGTAATGTGACAGATCTTTCAACCAGTGACCAATGGATGGGCCTTCTATGTTCTTCCAGTAAAATGCTATAAAACTGTCATTTTAACTAGAAAAGCTCATTTGGCAAGGCAAACTTTGAATGCTGGCTTGACAATGTCTTGTTTGAAAAGTTTTACACAGTTTTATTGCTGTCATTCCAATTCAACTTTGCCTCAACAAGTCATGAATAATGAATGAGTTTAGAACACCGTGCTCTGTGCTGAAGAAAAGGTTTTGTGTAAGGCACAGTATAGGTGCAATTTATGACCCACTGGACTGGCTGTACTGTAACTTCATGCCAGACACACACACACAATACATCTTGAATCTGACAGGCCGACAAGCTCAAATTAGGGTGGAATTACAGGCTGTGGTATAATTTGTTATGTGCTGTCCACAAGTGTCACTCACACTGAAGATTGTAACACCTTTAGAAAATTACATAATTCACAAGCTAGCGCATACAGACGACAAATTAAATTACACATATGCAACTGTAGCTATGTGGAGTAGACTGACTGCAAAATTCACCCATGCCAAAATCTGCTATAATCAAAACTTATTTTACTTGTCCATGAAATATAACACAGAACGTGCAGAATTATAAGTAGATGCATACACTAGCATTCAAAAGTTTGCGGTCGGTAAGAAAGAAAGTGAAAGAAGCATTTTTTTGATACAAAAATACAGTAAAAACACTTATATTGTAAATATTTGACAGTATAAAAATAAGTTGTTTTCATATTCTAAAACATGAATTTTCAAAAGCCATTACTCCAGTCTTCAGTGTCACATGATTGGACTTGAGTAATGGTTGCTGAAATGCAGCTGTCATAACAGGAATCAATAACATTTTAAAATATATTAAAATTAAAAACAGGTATTTCAAAATGTAACAATATTTCACATTAATGCTGTTTTACTGCAATTGCGAAAAAAAAATTAATGCAGCCTTTGTGAGCATAGGAGACTTCTTTTAAAAACATATATACTACATAAAAAATATCCCTTGGCCATTGCAGTACAATGCACAACATGACTTCCATACAACGACTGCTTATAATATTACTGATCCCCTCTGTGCATAAAACGTGGCTTGAGTTGAAAAGATTTGCCAAACCTGTCGGGAGGTAGACATGAGGTTGAAAGATAACTCGTCAGACCATAATACCTTTTCCATTGCCCAGGGGTCCAGGTTTTATGCTCAATACACCAGGTTATGTCTTTGTGTGTTGGCCTTAGAAACAAGAGGATTCGGAACAGCAGCCCTGCCATAAATCTGAGCTTTGTAAAGCTCATGACATACAGTTTTCTTTTTTTTCTAGTGAAGAGGATTGAGGTTTGTGGTCATATTTGAGGAGCGACTTTTGTGCCACTTAGCAACTGTCCTGTGAAACATCCATCGACTCCTCTTGGGAAAGGCAAAAACTTTAAGCAAGGAATTCACTGCGCTTACTGACAGCACTGCTTATCTGCACACTCCGTCTGGGTTGTTTCAGTTCCTGCTTTAATAAAGAAATGACTAAGTAACAGCAAAACACAGCCACAAAATCTGAGCTGAGCACAGTCTGCATGGCATTTGGGTATTGTATTCAAGGCACAGCACTATATGAGCACCTAGTGAAAGGGAAAATTCACTCACAAATGTCAAAAACCCTTATTAATTTCTATTTTTTGTGAATTTTACTGAATTTATGCTACATTTGAAAAACGGTTGCCCTTAACACATGAAATACTTTCAGTGTTTCTGTGACCGATGCTCTTGCAGTTCATATATTGACTAATTTGCCTCTTTGGAATTCTGTTAGTTGCCTCCATTTGCTTTGAAACTAATATATCAAAGTGCTAATAGTCAAACCTCCAGCACAGTGTACTGCCAATATGAAAGCAACTTTCCTTTGAAGCTGTGCTTGTAAGTGTGGTTATGTCAAGTTACTTCAAAGTTTAACATTTGATGTTTCTATAAATAGAAAAAAGTTCTCAACTATGCATCAAATGTGTGTGTTTTTTTTTGTTTTTTTACAAAATAAACACGGGGGAACATCATGGGAATATAGTGCAAAAACATTGTGAATTTAAAGTCCCGAGTCAATCTGACAACATTAGAGTAACGGCTGAAGGAATAGGGCAGTGCTGACATGAGGATAGGAGTTCATCATGGTTCAGAAGAGATTTTATTTTTGAGCTAACAGTATGTTAAAGAGGTGATGAGGAATCACATTTTCCTTGATCTTTTTGACATACAAGACATTGGTGTGCTGTGAAAACATATGCTAATTTCAAAACTTCAAAAAATGTTAAAGAGGGTGTTTCTTAAAAGCAGAATTCTAAGCCAAATAGAGGGTGGAAAATTGGCACGAAAAACAAAATAATTACTGTTTTTGACACAAAAAAAACTTGTAATAGGGAATGCTTAAGGGGGAATACAATAAATTATGATATGACCCCTTTTAAATACAAAACTAAAATGCGTTTAATTTCCGACCGTTTCAATTCACACCTTGAAATTTGGAGCTCACACAGAAGGAAAACACATTTAAATGAAATAGCAATCCAAGTTTTGCATGAGGGAAGCGATAATGAAACTCTAATTTAATTCTGGCTCCAAAATGAGGTATGCATCTCCTGTCTTTCCGACCGCAGATCCGGCATCATGCGCCTGAGACGGTGGCCCCATTCAGTGATCATCTCTCCATTAAATGTTTATGTTGTGGAACAAAGAGGAAAAGCTCATTAATGGTTAATCCATAATTCCCAAATGGAGGTCATACTACTCTAATGGGAGGCCTTAATGAGAACTCATTGCTGTTGAGTTGAAGGGGGTGACAGATGAAGGATGCTTGAGTTCATTTAAGGATTGAGAGAGCGGTGGGTACAGCAAGTCTCAGCACATTAGAGTCATTTTGTGGTTTTGGAGGCAGCAAACGATGACTTTATTCTTCTACCTGGACTGTGGTTTGAACGCTGGTTCTAACCAGACCAGAACTAAACAGCATGTACCAGCGTAAAAAAAAAAAAAGACTTCTCAGCAGGGAAGCCCATTACCATCAGAGAGGAAAAAGGTTATTTAATTTGGGGCACATCTCATTCATCCATTTCTGAGATCATTAATCTATCAGTTCATTTTTGACAGATGCTTTAGATAAAAATCCATCCGGCTGCTTTCCTCACTGAAGTCTAAGCTACCATTGATGTCATGATGAATATTCTCTGTTGAATCAAGGCTTTGTCATGTGAAGCACGCCAGTGATATTCTGAGTGGCGAGACAATGCCTTATAAAATAATAAAAGACTGAATCCCACTTACCAGCCTGTGTTGAACTCCACGTGGGCGTCAAAGAAGCCCACAACAGGAGCAGTGGCTGCGTTCCAGCCGTGAATCCTGGCTCGTATGAGTCCCTCTCTCTTACTGTTCCTCACGATCTTCACCAGGCCAGGATATCGCTTGTTCACGTATTGATCCAGATTGAACTTCAGCTCCACTACAAGAGAAAAACAGAACATGTGAAGAGAGGAAATTCAAACCTCCTACATCAATAACAGGGACTTCGACATTTGTCTTTTTATTATATGAAGGTCATTGTCTTGGAAACCCTTTTTTCATGCCACATTGTGCTTCTTTTGTTTTTGTTCCTTTTATGCATGGGTTTTATTGTGAAGGCATTGATTATAAATGGTTTTTGATCTTATAAATTAATCAAACACTATTGCAAAAATGATTGCATTTTAAAAATCATCTAATAATCTAAAAAAAGAGTGAAATGAACCAAAATTTAAATAGTTGTGTTGCTTATATCTGTTTTTATGACAATTTTTAAGCGACAGCCGAAAACTCATCTCTTTCGTCATCCTAAAATAAAAAACAAAAACATTGCTTTCTCTTTCCTTAATCTAGCTCTTTCCTTAACCTGTCTAGCTTGTTCTAATAAAAACAATGGGCCTCATTCATGAAACTTGCGTAAATATATGAGTAAATTCTGAGCAATTTGCGCGTAAAACAGACCTTCCCGAAAACTCTCCTTCAGATTCACAAACGCTTCGTAAACGTCCGATTTGATAGTTAAACATGTGTATGTTAATGAATTCCAATCATTCTTGTGCACGCTCATTCACAATTAGCATAATCCTCGCCTATGAATTACAGCTACGCAAAATGTGTGTCCAGGAACGCAGAGGAATATTCTGGTCTACTTTCTCAGGTTTGGCTCCAGTATATTGCATAAATGCAAAAAAGACTTATAGGCCATATGCCTAACAATCTCATATGCCTAGTATGCCATATGCCTAGTATCTCATTTTTAAGAATTTTACTAAATATAAAAAAGCAGTAACCAGTAATATTGACTTCTCCATTGTTGTAGTTGTTGTACAAGTAGGACGGTTGGTCGCTATTTGTCCCACCCGTCCTCTATTTACGGCTGGGTAAATAGTGACAATGACGAGCGCTGCGTTTTACAGTTATCAACTCAGCTGCAAAAAAATTTAAAAAAATAAAAAAGAGGGCAAGGGCAGATGAACTTGTAATTTATTAGTGCATCAAAATTCAGTGTCATCAGTTTGCCAAAAAAGAACACAGAACGTTTTACGCACCATTTACACGTGGTAGGTAGCAGGCGTACATTTCTTTCGTACCAACTAACATTTTGAAAATACGAACATTTTCATGAATTCGAAAGTTTACATCAGAACGGCTTTACGAACGATTTACACAAAAACTCGTTCTGCTTGTGTTTCATGAATGAGGCCCAATGTCTGAAACTTTGTATCATGAGCACTTCCTGTGTTTATTTGCCTCTTTAAGATTAATCGCTTGTTGTATTTCCTCAATTGTAAGTCGCTTTGGATAAAAGCGCCTTCTAAATGAATAAATCTAATGTAAATGAGATGAGAAATGAAATGTGATGTTTAAAGAAAACAAAAAAAACCAAGACAAATACAAAGTAAAAATCGGATTATTTTTATTTTGCGCTTTTTTTGTGTGTCATCAGGCTCCAAATTTGTTAAATTAAGCACTAAGTGTAAATATTCATTCATTTTGTATTTTTTGGTTACATAAAATGCTAGCTATGAAATCTTGTCTCTTAACGAGACACAATTGAGATGTGATGCAAATGTCCCCCAAACAAGACAAAAAATTATATTGTAATACAGTTATATGCACAGTGAGAGTGTGAAAAGCATGTTTTATGGCTAAAATCTGAAGAAACACCCCTGTAACACCCCTTTCCATTGCACAAATGCTCTTAATAGCGGAAAAGATTCTATAGATTTTTAAAATGTTTTTTACACTTACAAAAAAAAAAGGTTCTTTTAAAGGGGTCATATGATGCTTTTTTAAAGATCATTATTTGGTGTATTTGGTGTAACAGAATATGTTGACATGCTTTAATGTTCAAAAAACGCATTATTTTTCAAATACTGTACATTATTGTAGGTCCTCTATGCCCCTCCGCATTACCTCCTCTCCTAGGTTCACGAAACGGTCGTCCATAAAATGCATTGCTGTTCTGTTGTAAGTGATCCAAATAAAGTGCTTTTGCTTTCGCACTGAAACACACAGCGTCTCCCTGACATGGTTGCTTCAACACTAACTGCGGTTACTGACACCATGCCTTCTTTCTTTGCGTGCACATTTGCGGCGGGATTATGCAAATATTTCCACATAGTGGGGTAGATATGTGGGGGCGTGTTAGAATGAGCCGTTTTAGGGGGGCGTGGCAGAGTCTTAACTTTGATAAAGAATATCTCTTTGGTTTTGAGACTTTAGTCTTTGCAACTTCAGGGATCTTATCTATGCACAATCAGCTTGTAACACTCCAAAGAGAAAGGAAAACTTGAAATCGCATCATATGACCCCTTTAAGAACTGTTTGCTTAAAGGTTCTTTGTGGAACCAAAATAGTTCTTCTATGGCATCACTGCAAAAACAAAAACAAAAAACCTTTTAGAACCTTTATTTTTAAGAGTGTATCCCCTTTCGCTCATGATTTTGAACGGAAAAAAAAAACATTCAGGTTCAAGGAAGAAGCTTGTGTTGAATTCTGTACGATAAACTTAATAGCATAAATGAAAAAAGAAGGTTTTCGTGGCACTATAGATGACATGGTAAATAAATCTGCCTGAATCTCCCCACTCCTTTAGTCTCTCAGAGTTAGCTATCTGTCCTCATTCAATAAGAACTCTGGGAGGTAAACAAATGGAGTGCAAGGAGAACACGCACACACTCAGAGAGACAAACACACACATACACACACTCAAGGAAGATAGATGAGTGTTTGGGCTCTTTCCTGCAGGTTGCTGAGTGCTCTAGTTTCTATGGGGAGAGGAATAAGGAGGAACAGAGCACTCTTTAAGGCACTGATGCACACATCTACCTCCCCTCTCATTCATCAGCTTAGAAGAACGATTAACATTTCAGTGTGTCGGTGCAATGGAAAACCCTGGCACTGGATTTAATCACCCAAGAATATGATTAAAAATTATTTTACATAAAAGGTGATATGTTTTTATGTTTGCCCATAAAGATTCATAGGCCACATACATACTGTAAAGTTTCAGGAGTGACACCTGCATTTAAATACTAAACCACCATCAACAGAGCTGTCATGTTTTATGTTTGGAAGGCTACCTCACAGAGTGCGCTTGAAGGGTTGCCATGTCCACTTATTATAAACGATGCTTATCAAGCGCCTTTGGGCTTGTTATTTATTGCAACATTATAGACCATTGGGCATTTATTTTAACATTATATCTGCACTTTTCCCCCTAAATTGCTATTGTGTTCTGAAAAAAATCTCATTCTCATTACTATTATAAGCAAATATTATAAATATAAATGCAATTTAGTAAAATTAATATTACAATGATGTATACTGATTAGAGCCCGACCGATATGGGTTTTTGGGGGGCCGATGCCGATACCGATATTAGGGAGTAAAAAAAGACCGATACCAATATATTGGCTGATATTCTTTATGTGTAGGCTATGTTATAGTACAGTATATTCAAAAGTTTGGACACACTTCCTATTTGCGTGTCCAAAGTTTTGACTGGTACTGTATATAGAATACAGTATAGCCTACATAAACAGAATATACTGTATATACATAAACACATTTTTTGCAATGATAACTCAAATGTGGTGATCAAACACTTATAATGATGTGACAAACATAGGCCTATGTAGTGGAAGCAGGGTATTTAACAATTTAACACTAAACTATATTATTCAAAATGAGTCTGACATCAGTGCACTTAACAGTAAACTTCACTTCACTTATTATAAAAAACTTAAATAACACAAATAGAACAAAATATATCTAACTTGAATTAAGAAATTAAACAAGGTAACTGTGAAGGGCAAGCAAGCTGCCAAACCAACAGGGGCAGGTTTATGCAGGAAGCACACCTTTTCCAAATGTAAACTTCTAAAATGAATAAATAATAATAATTAATAATATTTTTTTTCACAAACTCTGTGTTGTGTATTTTCTGGTAATCAAATGAACATGCAGAACATTACTGCGTTGTTCTGCATGAACAGAACAGTATTTAAATCGTCTTTTTGCAGTTTAATATTCACAGACTATATATATGTACTGACCTGTTTTTGATTTATTCATCAAAAATAAGACAAATTCCATGAAATTCCGCGTTATACAGTAAATTCCGTTTTTATGACTGGATTCCGCGATTTCGTCCATGTTTTCTGCATCGCGGAAATCATAGGGCCCTACTAATGTAGCAAACGAATATGATAAGCTCATTGTTAGAGTAAAAGATGGGGACATTGTTGTTTATTTACTGAGCATTGAGTTTCTCCAACTAGGTGATAACGTAGCGTTAAATCACCATTCAACAGACTCAAGCCACCACCGCACTGCCGTCTATTGGACTGCAGAAAGATACTAACTTTTCAATCTGCTACGTTACTGACTGTACCGACAAACTATGCTGACACCGTGTCTGTGCAGGACGCGACAAAGTGACCGTTGAAAATCATTTGAACATTGTGTCAGCACGCCATAAATAGAACGAGGCATCAGTTTACTGCATCCAGTGTAGACAACATCACTGATTATAATTGGTTCTATTCTACACCGGACGCAAGCGGCGCGGCACAACAAAATACAATAGAATTCTATTGTATTTTGTCGCGCCGTGCAATGTGATGTGACCGATGTGATAAGCGTGAGTTCTGGGCCGTGGCGCGGCCGGTATAAACACCAGCACTGACTGAATGGCCGCGATCAGCTCCGATGGCCGTAACACAGGCTTTAATGCGCCGCAGACGTGTGCCATGATGCGCAGATCAGCTCTAGTCCCTAACGTCACTGAATCTGCTGTTAAAAATGAACCATCCATTCATCATATCATCATGCAAAACTAAGAATTAGAATCATTGTAATGTGACGATCAAATATAGGTGCGTGTGGGTGGCGGGCGGATCATTTTAAGCAGCGGACTCGAGTGAAGTTTGAGCTCATCCGCGCATCTCTAAATTACACTGACCTGGGTCGCCATTAGCAAACAATGGTGTAAACTAAGTAATTACACCATTCAGAAGCATTTAATCTGCATTATATGTTCTGTAAAAAAATATATATATTCATATCGGCGGCATATTCGCCGATTACCGATATATCGGCGACAGCCTCATATCGGCCATTAATATTGGCTAAATGATATATCGGTCGGGCTCTAATACTGATATATACACATGCAAAAATACTGTCTTCTAACAGGCTCTCATCACAGTACACACACATTTTTTTTTAATTACTCAACTTAATTTTGTACCTTGTTTTTGATTTTGGGGTGAAATGTAATTTTTTGAGAAACCCCCATGAGCATAACAGCTTTTTAAATTATAAATTATACTAAATGTGTTTCTGAAAATATAAAAAAAATGTAGAGAGTTTACTGTAATGGTAGGTTTAAGGGATGATATTGTATAAAATTTATGAATATAATGTAAATATAAATATGATGTAGAAACTTTAATTTCTGTGAAACTGCGTTGCGACAATTTGGTTTGTGAAAAAGTTATACAAATAAACATGAATTAAATTACATTTAATTATGGGGAACGGACCATTAAAATCTTCAAAAACATTCTTCAGGAGTTCATTATTGCTTCATCACCGCTCGGACACATACATACAGCTGAACAAACATCATTTTTCATCCCCGGAGGTCAAAGGTTGACGTCGGAATTTCACATATGCCGGTTTTCACATCTGGACAGGTCACGGGGTCAACACAACATGGGTGGTCGCCATGTGGTGGGTGCGTGGGGGAGGGGGAAAGGTCACAAAGGTCAAAGCCATCAATCAAGTTGACATATGGTGGCGGGTATCACTACTAACATTTCTTAAGCATTTTCGTGAAATTCACCCAAGTCTAATAAAAGTGTCTGCTAAATGAATAAATATGATGTGAAAGTACAGTACATAAATATGTTCATAAATTATATTCACGCTGACTGCTTTTAATGTCAGCTCTGCTCCAGTTATTATAACACGGCCATATTAGGGCGGGCACAAAACACAATTCAGTGTGTGTCGAACAGCGTGTACACACACACACACACACACACACACAAATGTGCTGTTAGAAGTTATAGGATTCTCTCTGGTGCGTTCTGAATGAGATTGAAATTAAGAATCATGAGGCAGAAATATTTTATAATCATTCACCAATCAATGAAGAAGAAATATCCATCCATCATACTGTGAATATAACAGCAGAAATAAGTTCTGGAACACAGCAGATCAAAATTGAGCATTATGAAAATATTTGAAATGCAAAGAAAGCCATTTTCCTCATGGATGCACGTGTATGTGTGTGCCATTGGGCTTCAGTAAAACAGGGATCATCCACAAATTAAAAAAAATAATAATTAAATTTGTGTTCCATAGAATTAAAAGAAGAAAGTGTCGAATGGTTTTGGAACAACATTAGGGTGAGTAAATGATGATAACATTATTATTTTGGGACGAACACTAATTTTATCCACAGAATTTGGCCTAACGTATGAGGATTTAAATTGTGTAGTTTGCTATATACAGCCAGATGTCATTTACTAGCTGGAGTCTCAAATAAAAGAACATCCTTGAAAAGTATTAAACAAACTCTTCATCTAAAGGGCCTACATTTCTTTTCATTTGGACTGAAACCCATTATTATCTGTTTACAAGCGACGTCTAAATGAATTGAATTTCAAGGGTGCAATACCACTCCGTGTCTGATGAGATGAGAAAAATAGACACGATGTCCCTTAATATTATTCACAAGGTGAGAATGAATGCTACCCTGCGTAACAGGATTCAGCTGAGATTAATCCAAACAGACAGGGATGATGGAGGGACAGAAAAGGAGGACAAAAACCTTATTGGCTTCAGTGAAAAGTGTAACACGAGAACGGCACTCTATTAAACGTCTTCATAATGGACAGAAGACTTAGAGAGACAGAGACACGCTCGCTAAGGTCAATTCATTATTCAAGTGGTGAGGGCGCCTGTACCTCCAGCCGTTTTTTGGGTGCGAGCGCTAAACCGGAGACGACAAGCTACAGCGCAGAGAAAAGGTCAAGTAGGCAACCTTTGCATGTTAACAGTTTAATGTCAGCTGGAAGCTGAAGCATCAGCAGGAAATTAGCATATGAAATTAGAAACGGTCAACGCCACATCCAGAGAAGCTGAGTGTGTGAGATAACAGCAAATTGGGAAGATAGCGGTTCTGCCAGTCATCTGTTCTCCACAACGCTCCACCTCTGTGCGTATCTCTTTTTTTTTTGCAAACAAGATTGAGAAGTACTGGCGTTTTAAATTTCTATCAAGTATATCTGCTAAAAGGGAAATTTTAACAACATTCAGGAATATACTGGAATATTGAAATGTATCATTTTATAATGCATAATTAATGCATTCACTACTGGTCAAAAGTTTGGAATCATTAAGAATTTTTTTGCTGGTTAATTATTTACTTTTAAAAGAATCCTTGCAAAGGCTGCATTTATTTGATCAAACATACAGTACAAACTGTGAAATATTATTATGATTTAAAATAACTTTTTTTTTCTCAGTCTTCAGTGTCATGTGATCCTTCATAAATTATTCTAATATGCTGATTTGGTGCTCAATTACTAATAATGTTTTGTATTATCAATGTTAAAACCCGTTTTTGCAGCTTAATATATTTGTGTCAAACCATGATAATATTCATAGGGTTCTTTGACAAATAGACAGTTAAAAAGAACACCATTTATTTGAAATAAAAACATTATAACATTATGAATAAATAGCAATAAATAAAAATACTAAATGTAGTTATAAAAATGTTGTTTTCGATTGTAATAACATTTCACAATAGTACTGTTTTTACTGTATTTTTGATGACATCCTTTATTTCGTAAAGGCTAAAAATAGAGTGCAACGATTTCCAGAATCTCTATTCAATTGAGGACTCAGAGAACTATTGAAAATCACAGAAAATGTTTATAAAAAGTTTAATTGTGATCAGAAGAAGAACCAATTCACTAAAATGAATTCCACATAGTACTTCAGAGAGTGGCCCTGTGTCAAATGACACACTCGATGCGGACTTGCGGTCTCATGGCCTTGGTTCACGCGTGTCCATGAGGTCCACGAGCCTGTAGGGTATCCCATTTATCATTTTATGATTCAGAAGGATGCTCATGAGCGCCCTCTTTGCAGCCTCTATGTGCCCTCAATCCCGAGCCAAACCTGCACTCACATGAACAAAACCCAACAGTGATGAAGTGGGTTCTAGAAGAGAGAATGGTTCATTATTGCTCCACCTTGCTTGGTTTTAAGGCTGTATGCAATAAATAACGTGACACAGAAAACATATTTTTATGTGACACCAAAAAAATTGTTCATTACTGAAAAAAGCAAAACTATTTTGAGAACAGCTGAGCTGCTGCTGTCACACTAATGCAAAATGTTCAGTTAGAAGCATCACTACTTTTAGTTAGTCCGATACTTCGGAGCAGTTTGACCAGATAAAAACGACTGCAAAACATACAGCGTCAGTGGGAACTGTAAATAATGTCTCAAAGAAAAATGAACAATCTGTCTTGTGCAAGAGTACACACCTAAAGGTTTACTCTTGCGGTGTTTTTCTCTTGCTGTTTATTTTTCCTCTTTTTGTTAGTCTTTAAGCGCAGTCTCTAACCAAGCAACAAAAATTTTTGTTTGCTCAGACAAAACACAGACTGTTACGGCATACCAAAACAGGTTAGTCATACTTTATCTGAGGATGCCGTGCTGTGTTTATTCATTTTATGTACACTTTCTTTATAAAGGCTTTTACGTCTGGAGCAACAAGAGAAACCGGTAAATGTTAAGCAGCTGTATTGGTTTCAGTGAAAACAAAGCAATAAATCATTCATGGAAATATAAAGGGATGCGTCCTTACCGCTGTCACTGTTGTCGTCCACCAGTATGATTTCTTTGAGCAGGTGTGCCGGGGTATGGTTGACCACGCTGTGTACAGACCGCAGGATGACAGACAGAGCTTCATTCACAAAGATGAAGACGACAGAGATCTGGGGAAGGTCATCAGAGTAGGTCAGCTGCTTACACCTGGACAGAAAAAAGACATCAGTGTATCAGTTTGCAGCTTTATAGTCAGAACATTTAATTTAGGAAAATAACAACTGATCATAATCATGTTTGTGGAATATTATGCAGGTTTTTATTGTGTATGTCTCTACTTTTTTATTTGTATCATTATTATTTATAAATAATATTACTATTTTATTGTTTAAATAATAAAAAAAGAAAGTCTCAACCTTTAAATATTCTGTTTCACGTAACACTTTAGCATTTTTTTTAAGTTGTCAGTCACCGCCAGCATTTTTTGATCATTTTCAGAAATATCTGAACATGCAATACATCAAAAGAAAGAACAGAGTCTCTGCTTAAAAAAAAAAAACAGTTTTATAGCTTAATGCATTCTTTCTTATCAACACATGAATATAGGCAAGTTTCATACATTTTGGCTAAAAAGCTGAGAAAAGCATTTTTTTGTCAAAGACTACATCCAGATTGGATTCAGATGACCAAAACATAGACGGAGTAGATCGCTTCTATCAACCCTATACAGATTCCTGGGTCGACAATTAATTTGGTAATGTTCGGCAGTTTTGATTTATATTCTGTTTAAAGTTTGATGATCATGATATTTGATATCATGATATTAGCTTGTTTCTGCTTCTTCTTCATCGTGTATTGATTCAGAGTTTCCGTACTCTTTCAGAAGATGTGTAATAGCGCACACTACCATATAACAATGAAAACATGGAAAGCCAGAAAATTCCGTCAATGGCAGAGAAAGAGTTAAAAATTAAATGCAATGCAAATGCCAAAATGAAAAATGCCACACATAAAGGGAGAGGCATCATCTTTCTCCACACTGTGAGCAGGACTTGAATATGTTTACTAACTTGTCATCAAAGCTCCAGTCATAACCATATTTCATGATATGACATAAGGCCCGTTCACACCGAGGACAATAACTACAAAGATCACAGAGACATTCTGTTTATTATAAGCACAGGATGCACAAATGCTAGAGCTCTTTAAAGCAGGATGGATTCTGATTGGCTGTCAATTCTTTTATTGTTTATCAGCTAGAAAAAAATGATGAAAGTGATTCCAACAGTATTGTTCCTCTGTGTCATTACAGTTGTGCTGTGGACGCTGCAATTTTTATTTTTATAAATTAAAAAAAATGTTATCCATGTTATGAATGGGCCTTTGTAGTCTTACTGAGAAAAGTCAGATTTTGTTGAAGCACCATTCTGGATTACTCTCAACTGCATGCGTTGCATGAATATCTTTATTTTATAGAGGTATTATAATATAGCCGGAATGATGCTCTGGATAAGATGAAAATTCTGGTGCAAAGCTACAGTATATTAGAAACATAAAGCATCTCATTGCATTTAGGACCCCTAGAGGAGTTCCTATATTAGTACAAGACAACTAAAATACAACCTGACGTCTCAAAGCTAAAGATTGGTTGTCTTGCCACTAATAAATGTGTGCATATTTACTGTGTTGCACAAAACCTGACAAGCCACTAAAACCCTAAATTCATTCCCAGATTTACCGCTCTTCTTGTGGGGAAAATTAAGGCATGCCAACATAGCCTTTATTGCACATTGTAAATGCTGACTGGTTACTATGGCAACCATACGTTCTTGATCAACATCTCACTGTGAAATCCCTCCCTCGGCCGTCCAAAGCTCTGGGAAAACAGCATGAGGCTCCTGCCCGTATGGACTTACTCTCAGCTCTTTTAATATGGTTGAGGATTATAGGGCTCAGGAATAGGTTATATTTCATAAAATACGATTACAGAGACTAGGTTTGGCATTTAGCAGATTAAAATTCTCTAGGCAATCACATTATTGAGTTGTCTGCTCACAAAAAGGTATACTCAACAAATAAGTAATCAAATTATATACAACCACGAGAATAAAAGTATATGTGTGCATCAATATTGCATAAAAAAATCATTTTAAGCTGGAGAATGAACCTGTTACAGTATATACAATTGTGACAGAATTGTAACTATTTTTATTCAAGGAGCAAAAACAGACTCTCCTATTTGTTTAAAATGTAAGTTACTAACTTCTTGTTTGTTGAACTACTCTATAAAAGCAATATCACATTTTAATGGAGCTGATATTTAGGGAAAATGGCAATTGTGCTCGTGTGATAATGCTTTAACTATAACATATGAAAATATAAAAATCAGAAACCTATTATTGGGAAGTTTTTGCCCCATAGCTTTAATTTTGAGGACATTTTTGTCATTTTATGGGCATTTTTGCCTCAATCTCCCATTGATTTCAGACCCAGCATGGTGTGCTTCAATCAAGATCCAAAAATGAAAAAAAAAACAGACTAATCCCAATTTGAGGATGAAAACACTTTAGTTAGAACACATTACAGTTCAATTCCTTACATAAGGTTTGCTGATTTTAAATGTATTAATTTCATCATATAAAGAATGTGCTGCGTTTACAAAAAGAGGGTGCTGCAGCCCTGTTACAAAGCAAAAAAAAACAAAAACTCTTGAATACAATAGATACAGATAACATGTTTATTTACTTACATAAAAATATTTATGATCCCTTTATATATTTATATTAAGGGTTAAATGGATCCATAGTTGATCGGTTGGACACGCATGTGATTCGCGGATTAACTGCAAAATGTAACCATCATAGAGAATGAAAAAAAAAACAGACTAATCCCAATTTGAGGATGAAAACACTTTAGTAAGAACACATTACAGTTCAATTCCTTACATAAGGTTTACTGATTTTAAATGTATTAATTTCATCATATAAAGAATGTGCTGCGTTTACAAAAAGAGGGTGCTGCAGCCCTGTTACAAAGCAAAAAAAAACAAAAACTCTTGAATACAATAGGTACAGATAACATGTTTATTTACTTACATAAAAATATTTATGATCCCTTTATATATTTATATTAAGGGTTAAATGGATCCATAGTTGATCCAGGCCCCACGGTTTGACACGCATGTGATTCGCGGATTAACTGCAAAATGTAACCATCATAGAGTGACCGTTTATTTTAATTATTTATTTATTAGCAGAACTATCTGTATATGTAAAGCATTCAGTACACTGATAGCATTCAGTCTTACCCAATAATGATGACCTTTTTCATTCATACTGCAAAACAACAATTACTGATCACAGATGACTGACTAATGGTCCACTAAAATAATGACTGTGGCAATTTATGCATGGACATTTCCTTCATTATAATCTCCATAAATTATTTTCTGTAACGATTTGAGGAGAGAAGGTAATTGTGCCTAGTCTAACACAATCACAATATCACGCTAACACAAATACTAGCTGTTTATGCTGAATCCTGAATATGGTAATGCCTTTTTTGGAATAACAAGAATAAAATCCCTATCTGATAGATATCGCTGAAATACTGTAGGTGTCCTGAGAAATCACACAAGTCTCTGTTTTAGCCCAAGGCTCTGTAAACAGCAAAAAGGATCTGAATGTGGTGTGTTATAGCCCATCAGAAATCCTAGAGTCGTGCCTTTGCCTGTCAGTCATACTACGCACTGGGGTTTGCTGCATTGTCTTTGAAGGACGGAGATTTGGAGAGGAGGGATACGGTTGAAGGGATGGGAGGCAGTCTAATTCAATGGCATAGTCTAAAATAGAGAAGTTAGCAAGATGCCTATTAGGCTAACATTGTTTACAGCAGTTATAAATTGTCCTCTATAGTTGGGTAACATCTAAGGACCTTAATCAGCAGAATGAGTCCAGTGTAAATCGATGTAAAAAACATTCTTACATAAAATGCTAGCTTCAGTGCAACAGTCCATGCAAGAATGGATTTATGGGTTTCATCATGAATAAGGCCCGATGAGGCCATCAAAAACGTTTGAATTATATAAAAATATACAGACAATCAAGCCTAAAAAGGAAAAATCTAACAGAAAAATCTGACTTTTTCCCCTCTCTCGGACATGGATAATGTTCATTGAGCCCCCTGCTGCCAGTCAATAATATTTAATGGCTCTATTCCCCTCAGTGAAAATCCCCTCCTCACCCAATCTGCAGCAAGAGCTTTCCCTGTGTGAATGCACAGTACAGTACACACTTGCACCCACACACTCACATGTGTGAAAGAGCCACATACTGTAGTCTTTGTGAGTCATAATGGTGATGTTTAGTGTTTTAACTGCAGGTGAAGAACAGTCAGCCTGAAATGATGCAACACTACCAAAACACAATGCACATTAGGTGTTAAAAACGTTTTCAAATCCCAGCTTGATCTATAAAAGTACATGCAAAGTATGAGTGCACTAAGTAAAATAAACAAAAATACACCTCTAAAACGGCTAAAACTGATGTAAACAGTGATGATTATACTTCACCTTAAATTACATTTGCTCATTTAGCAGGCACTTTTATCCAAACTACAGTCTAAAGAAAAGTCTAAATATATCCAATTGATCAATCTAGGACTAAATCGTGGGCAATAGGCCATGGGGGGAAAAAAAGAAAGCAAGCATATTTATGGAGTATTGCTTATGTCAGCTAGACTGTGCTAAAGCAAGCATGCAGCTATGGCTAACATCCAGTGCATAAAAACAAAATATTATGATAGTTTTAACAGTGACAGCTGTGCAAATATCATTCAAAGCTATTTATAACAGTCCTCTAATACCGTGCGGTTCTGCAGCCATAGCAGCATAAGGAAGGTTTGATTGATCAGGCCATTAAAGCATTTTTTCTTTGCTTCCCAGCAGGTTGCTGTTTTTCCAATCCCTTATTTTTTTCTTCCTCAACTGCTCATGCAAAGCACCATGAATACAAAGCTGACGTCACCAGCAGTATTTTTCCACAAAATGTGCATGAATACATCAAATAAATCCAAGTAAATCCTTCTACCTGTTATCACAGGAGCATTCAGGTAAAACAGCCAAAAAAGCAATGCAACGTCACGTCAACACTTTTTAATATTTGACTTGTTTGAGTAATATTTATAAACATTCAAAAAGATAATTTTAC